AAAAACCCCCCCCCCCCCCCATGCCACAGTCCCTTCTCCATTCTACTCTTGGGATCTTGGGCATTCACACATGTGCCTGGCGTAAGTCTAAGCCACAGGGTTCGGGACTCAAACTGCAGTCGACTATATGGGAATCCAGCGACGTAACCATTATGCCAACTGCTGGTCCCTGGGATGTTATTTTGTAAGAGATTTTTCTTTTTGCTTTAGGGCTTATATGCTCTCCTGAGAGACAGAAAGTGAGAAATCACCCATTAGGGTGGATGGCTGTGCCTCAATCTCTTCTCCTCCATCCTCCTCTCAAGATTTTTTGGGCATGCATGCACACATGCCTGGCATAAGTTTTAAGCCACCAAGTCTAGGACTCAAACTGCAGTTGACTATAAGTGTCTTAACTTTTTTGCCTGAAGTATTTTGGTGGGAGGGGACAAGTCTAGGACTCAAACTGCAGTTGACTATAAGTGTCTTAACTTTTTTGCCTGAAGTATTTTGGTGGGAGGGGAGGAGAGGTTTTTGCTATAGGCTGCGTGTGCTCGCCAGACAGACAGAGAGAGACAGAGAGACAGAAAGCAAGAAATCACCCCCGGGGGAATGGCCACGCTGCAATCCCTTCTCCATTTTCCTATCGGGATCTTGAGCACGCACATGCACCCAGCGTGAGTTTTAAGCCACCGGGTCCGGGACTCGAACCACGGTCGACCACATGAGAGTCCAGCGACATAGCCATTACGCTAACTGCTGGTCCCAGTATTTTTTTTTAATTATTATATTTGACTTTATTTATTTCAATTTGACCAGAGAGAGAGAGAGAGAGCAGGCTGCCAGGTCTGGAACTCAAACTGTGGTCAGCCATGTGGGAGTCCAGCACCCTCAACCACCATGCCACCTGCTGGCCCTGGATCTGGGGTTTTTCAGATTAGGGATGCTCAAACTATAGTTCAATGTGACTACAATATGGCAGTATAGGGAGGAGGAGAAGCCTCAGTTTTCTCACTTATGAGATGGGCACAATCCTGGGACTAACAGATAGTGTAATGGTTACATTGTTGGACTCCCACATAGTCGACTGTAGCTTAAAATCCCGGACCCAGTGGCAGGGGTTTTAAGCCAGATGAGTGTGCGTGTGTGCCCCAGGTCATGAGACAGAAATGGAAAAGAAGAAATTGTGGCATGGCCATCTTCCAGGGGGCGGGGAAGAGTGATTTCTCACTTTTTGTCTCTCTGTCTATCTCTCCAGTGAATACATGAGTCCTATAGGAAAAATCTCTCTTAAAAAAATAAAGAAGATCATAATCCTATATGAAGCCAATATGAAAATAAAGTAAATTAATGAATGTATACTTCTTTTTTTAATATTTTTTTAAGAATTATTTTATTTAACTTTATTTATTTACTTATTTTAATTTGACCAGAGAGGGACAGAGCAATCCCACGCATGAGCAAGAAAGTGAGAAAGGAAGCCTCCAGATCCAGGACTCGAATGACAGTCAGCCATGTGGGAGTCTAGCACCCTTAACCACAATACCACCTGCCAGCCCTAACAGTGGCACGTAGAAAGCTTTCAAAAAACATTGTTTATTATGCCAGCAAGTAGGATTAGTTTGAACAAAATCATGAAGATGGAAATAAACAATGTGTGAAAATTTTTGACTCAAATGGAGCATTATAGGTTTTAAGTAATATTAGTTTAGCATCGGATTGCAGTAAGTAAGCTTTGCATGGAAATTTAGAGTATTCCTAATAGCCAGTGGTGTTCTACGGAACATTTTACTAGTATGTGTTGAAGTAAGTGAAGTATCTTGTTTGATGTTGTAAGTTTTTGCTGTAGGTTGTGTGACAGAGACAGAGGGAAAGTGAGAAATCACCTCCCCATGAAGAATGGCCATGTCACTATCTCTTCTCTTCCAGAATTTTGGGCACACATGCAATCAACATTTCTCAAGTCACCAGGTCCAGGGCTCAAACCACAAAGTTGGTCGTGTGGGGTTTAACCACCTTAACCACCTTGCCACCAGCTGGCCCACAGTGAAGTACCTTTGTAATCACTAAACTACCAGTGTGAGAAATACAATTATGGGGACCCCAGCAGTTAGAGTAATGGCTGTCGCTTTTTTTTTTTGGAGAGGTTTTTGCTATAGGGCGCGTGTGCTCGCCAAACAGACAGAGACAGAGAGATAGAAAGCGAGAAATCACCCCCCTGGGGGGATGTCCACGCCGCAATCCCTTCTCCTTCATTCTCCTCCTGTTATCTTGGTCACGCACGCACGCCACACGTGCCCGGCGTGAGTTTAAGCCACCGGGTCCGGGACGCGAACCGCGGTCGACTACGTTGGAGTCCAGCGACATAGATAGCCATCACACTAACTGCTGGTCCCATAGACTTCTATGTATTTGACCAAGTTGGAGCCCCGGACCTGGTGGCTTAAACTCATGTGGGGCATGTGTGCGTGCATGCCCAAGATCTCCAGAGAAGGGATTGCAGCGTGGCCATCCCCCCGGGGGCAATTTCTCTTTTCTGTCTTTCTGGCGAGCACATGCAGCCTATACCAAAAACCTGTAAAAAATAAAGAGAAAAAGAAATACAATTATGAAGTGAACAGAAGGAAGACTATAGAATACTTCTATTTAACTTTATTTATTTGTATTATTATTTTCCAGTTTGATCAGAGAGAGAGAGAATGGGGAGGGAGAAAGTGAGAAAGAAAGCGACCAGGTCTGGGACTCGAACGGTGGTTGGCCATGTGAGAGTCCAGTGCCCTTAACCACTGTGCCGTCTGTTGGTCCCTCAAAACAAACTGAAATCAACATATTAACTAAAATAATTGGACTGATATAAGAATAAAATTACAAAGGGGATCTGATAAATTTGATATTTTCTGTGTATTATTGTAGCTAATTATTTCTTTTTTTTAAGAGGGAGAGCTATATTTGCTATAGGGTACATGCACTCAACCAGAGAGACAGAAAGTGAGAAATCACCGCATTCGTGGGGATGGCCACGCTACAATCCTTTCTGTGTTTTGTCAGGATTTTGGGCACACATGACTGGTGTGTTTTAAGCCACCAGGTCTGGGATTTGAATCTGAGTCAGCTACATGGGAGTCCAGCACCTTAACCACTAAGCCACCTGATGGCTGTATGATTTCTATTTCTAAATAAGGCTGGAAAAATCAGTAAATATGATACCAAAATTGGCAAATCGGGGAGAGGCTGGGAGGAGCATTGTTTCTAAGAAGCAGCATTATTAGACCGAGGTGCACAGCCCTCCATCAGAGTCCTGTTTGTACCAGTGACAGTTTCAGTAACTTATCACACTTGACTGCGTTTTTGATTGCCACTTCTCTAATATGAGGAGCAAAGTGGACCAGAAAGTGTGCAAAGCTCAAATAAATCTTTAAAATTATGAAGTTTCTAGGAATTGTATGTTCCTGTTAAGGTTGCTTTTTTTAATTTCCAAAGACTTGCGTGTAGTTTTATAGAGAATGCATTGAGAGAACATAGGTATAGCTTTAAGAGAAAATGCACATGTGCAAAATTTTGAAACATTTTTGCAGAGTTGAGGGAATGTGAAATCAGTGGATTTTTTATTGCTGGGTGATGGACCATTGAAAGATTTTAAGTAGATAAATGGAGCAAGGCATGTGCTGAAGGGAAGAGAGTTAAGGATATAAGATTGATTTAAAAAATCTTGCAGAAGAATCTAGTATTTCCTTGTTTGAAGTGCATGACACCTTTAGATGAAAGAAATCTGACTGCTACACAGTTATTAAATGATTATTTAAAGACTTACAAGGATAGTAGAGGTTTTATTAGTGCTAAAAATAGAACTTTAAAGAACAGCAGTATTGGGGCCAGCAGGTGGCATAATGCTTAAGGCACTGGAGTATCACATGGCTGACCATGATTCGAGTCCCAGACTCAATGACTTGAAGCTCACGCCAGGTGAGTGTGCATGTGTACCCAAAACCCCAAGAGGAGGAGGGGTGGTTTCTCTCTCTTTCTCTCCAGTGACTGTATGCACCCTGTAGGAGAAACTTCTCTTTTTTTAAAAAAGAACTATTGGGGACCAGTAGGTAGTATGGTGGCTAAGGCGATGGATACTCCCACATAACCACCCACAGTTCGAGTCCTGGACCTGATGGCTTGCTTTTGCACTTTGCCTCTCTCTATGTTTCACTCTGATCACATTTGAAAAGTGATACTAAATGAATAAATAAAATTAAATAAATAATTCTTTAAAAAAAAACCCTATTTTCGGAACAAGTAAAGGGATAGAAACAATTAAGGAGAAAGACTGCAATTGGAGGTATTTTCTAAAAGCACAAATGGAGGAGTTGACCATGGTAGAATACCTGAAGGTAGGCCTAATTTGCTTCTGAAAAGGGGTCCTTGGTGCAGTTCAGGCTTGACTTCCAGGGGTGTCTATCTCTCTATCTTCAGTTATCCGGGAACTTCCTGGGCTTCATCCCAAGTTCACATCTGATCTAAAGTTTAGTGAACACGGGCTGGCAGGTGGCATGGTAGTTAAGGCAGTGGAGTCCCATATGGCCGACCGTGTTTGAGTCCCAGACCTTATAGCTTACTTTCTCACTTTTTGTCTCTCTCTATCTCTCTGTCTCTGGTCAAATTTAAAAAATAGTAATGATAAGGGACCAGCAGATGGTGTGGTGGTTAAGACTCTGGACTCCCACATGGCCGACCATGGTGCAAGTCCTGGATCGGGCAGCTTGCTTTCTCACTTTCCCTTTCTCTGTCTCTGGTCAAGTTAAAAAATAATAATAATTGGGACCAGCAGTTAGCGTAATGGCTATGTCGCTGGACTCTCACGTAGTCGACCGTGGTTCGCATCCCTAACCCGGTGGCTTAAAACTCACGCTGGGCGCATGTGTGTGCGTGCTCAAGATCCCGAGAGGAGAATGGAGGAGAAGGGATTGCGGCGTGACCATCCCCTCTGGGAGGTGATTTCTCGCTTTCTGTCTCTATGTCTCTCTCT